CTACCCCTATGCCTACAACTATGGTCACTGTCCTTTGTCGCCAAATTTGAAAAATAAAAAACTTTTCAATTTCTCACGGAGAGTTTATATAAATATCGGTCTACAAAGATTGTTGTACTTAAAATTTAACATGAAGAGTGGTGTTGTGATATAAAACGTTTACAGATTAACAGATGATGTCACGGTATTCCATTAATCACACGTTTGCACGGTTTTTATTGAAGATTTACTTCAGATAAAATGGACATCTAAAGAAAAAGAGTCCAAGGTAGATTCCATCTTGTGACCCAAGGAAGAAGGTTGTAAGTCTCACGATATCTACAGGAAAAAACATAACACACCACGATATTCTTTGCTTTAGGCTACTGATGGAAGTCAAGGTAGTCCTTTGAGAACAAAGCGCCGCAAACTGTCTTTGAAACAAAACCGCATTTTCTTGATGGTGTCCTTGTAGTCACAAGATATCATCCTTGGAAATGATTCCCTTTGGGAGGATAGAAATTTAACCTCCTTCCTCTTCTTCTGCTCCCTTGGTGAGAATATTAGCGAACTTCTTGATATCGATGAGTCCGTTGTTGTCAATTGGGGCTTCAGAAAGAGCTTCATCAACCTCCTCCTGGCTGAATTTCTCTCCCCATGTGGTCAGGGCACGCTTCAACGTTTCTTCCTTGCATTTGCCATCACCTTCATCATACATGTTGAAAGCGTTTACAATGACATCTTCCTCGTCAGCGCCAGCAATTCTATCACCAAAGATGGTTAGGAACATGGTGAAGTTGATTGGACCTGGGGCCTCTGCAACCATGGAATCAAGCTCCGGTTCTGTGCACAGACGTCCAAGAGAATCAAATGTCGCTCTAATATCGCCCTTAGAGATGAAACCATCCTTGTCCTGGTCAATAAGTTGGAAAGCTTCTTTGAACTCTTGAACTTGATGTTGAGTGAACATTGCAAAGACATTGCTGCCGGACCTCTGGGCTCTCCTCTTCTGGGATGTGGGTCTGGAGGAAGGAGCAGGGGCAGCTGGGGCTGCGGCGGCGGCGGCAGGAGCATCTTCCTCTGCCTTCTTCTTGCTCTTCTTCTTCTTCTCTTTCTTTTCTTCGTCACCCATGATGCCGATTAGCTGTGCTGCTCCGAGACAATCGCAAGAGGCAAGGAAGAGTCCTGTCCATCCCTCTTTCTTTTCA